TTGCTGCAGGCATTGACAATATACAGGTGCTGGTCATAAAATTAGAATATCATGAAAAAGTAGATTGATTTCAGTAATTCCATTTAAAAAATGAAACTTGTATATTATATTCATACATTACATACAAACTCATATATTTCAGATGTTTATTTTGTTTAATTTTGATGATTACAAATGACAACAAATGAAAATCTCAAATTCATCATATCAGAAAATTAGAATATTGTGAAAAGGTTCAAAATTGATGGCCCCTGGTGCCACACTCTAATCAGCTAATTAACTCAAACCACCTGCAAAAGCCTTTAAATGGTCTTTCAGTCTAGTTCTATAGGCTACACAATCATGGGGAAGACTGCTGACTTGACAGTTGTCCAAAAGACGACCATCGACACCTTGCACAAGGAGGGCAAGACACAAAAGGTCATCGCTAAAGAGGCTGGCTGTTCACAGAGCTCAGTGTCCAAGCACATTAATAGAGAGGCGAAGGGAAGGAAAAGATAGGGTCGAAAAAAGTGTACAAGCAAGAGAGATAACCGCACCCTGGAGAGGATTGTGAAACAAAACCCATTCAAAAATGTGGGGGAGATTCACAAAGAGTGGACTGCAGCTGGAGTGAGTGCTTCAAGAACCACCACACACAGACGTATGAAAGACATGGGTTTCTGCTGTCGCATTCCTTGTGTCAAGCCACTCTTGAACCACAGACAGCGTCAGAAGCGTCTTGCCTGGGCTAAAGAGAAACAGGACTGGACTGCTGGTGAGTGGTCCAAAGTCATGTTCTCTGATGAAAGTAAATTTTGCATTTCCTTTGGAAATCAAGGTCCCAGAGTCTGGAGGAAAAGAAGAGAGGCACTTCATCCACGTTGCTTGAAGTCCAGTGTAAAGTTTCCACAGTCAGTGATGGTTTGGGGTGCCATGTCATCTGCTGGTGTTGGTCCATTGTGTTTTCTGAGGTCCAGGGTCAACGCAGCCACATACCAGGAAGTTTTAGAGCACTTCATGCTTCCTGCAGCTGACCAACTTTTTGGAGATGCAGATTTCATTTTCCAACAGGACTTGGCACCTGCACACAGTGCCAAAGCTACCAGTACCTGGTTGAAGGACCATGGTATCCCTGTTCTTAATTGGCCAGCAAACTCTCCTGACCTTAACCCCATAGAAAATCTATGGGGTATTGTGAAGAAGAAGATGCAATACACCAGACCCAACAATTCAGAAGAGCTAAAAGCCACTATTAGAGCAACCTGGGCTATCATAACACCTGAGCAGTGCCACAGACTGATCGACTCCATGCCACGCCGCATTGCTGCAGTAATACAGGCCAAAGGAGGCCCAACTAAATACTGAGTGCTGTACATGCTCATACTTTTCATGTTCATACTTTTCAGTTGGCCAACATTTCTATTAATCCTTTGTTTTTATTGGTCTTCAGTAATATTCTAATTTTCTGATATGATGAATTTGAGATTTTCATTTGTTGTCATTTGTAATCATCAAAATTAAACAAAATAAACATCTGAAATATATGAGTTTGTATGTAATGTATGAATATAATATACAAGTTTCACTTTTTAAATGGAATTACTGAAATCAATCTACTTTTTCATGATATTCTAATTTTATGACCAGCACCTGTATGTTGCAATATTTGTTGCTTTTTTTCCAGCTTACAATTTGAATAGCACTATCCATGAACTCAGCATCTCTCACTAAAAGGGAGGTTATTAAGGTGGCGATAAGGCTTGTTTTAACGAGACAGATATAAAATTTGAATACATAGTTTTAATGCATTTAGCTTTCATGATCTTGCCTGTTAGTAATTCCTCTCACCTGCCGTTTTCCCTCCCTGCCTCAATTACAATTTATTCCCCTCACCTGTTTCCTCTGGTTTAAATTCAGTTCTCCCTGAGCATTCGTCGTCAGATAATTTCTTGTCTTTCTGTCAGTCTGTCTGTTCAGTTTTAGTTCATGGTTCATGTCCTGGATCCTAGCTGCCAGTGGAAAGAGGGTTTTTGTGTTTGTCTCGTCTCCTGATCGTCCACTGTTCCTCCCCCGCGGAGTCCTCTGGGTTTTTGGCTCAATATGTGGGGAGGTTCAGTTTCTATCCAGTAAGCCTGGCTCCAGGGAGGAGACCAGTTCAAAGTCCTGCTTCAAGTACTGGTTCCACGTCCTGTCTCGGCTACCCTCTTCCACCGAGCCTGCCTGTCTGCACCTGATCCTGTCTGCTCCTGTGCGTGACCATCTGGTCATGCTTCTGGTCCCAGTCAGACTCTGAACCCTCCTGGGAGCCTGTGGATGCCTGGAAGTCTGGATCCTGCCACCTGTTTCTGTTCCTGCCTGATCTGGATCCTGCCTGTCCATTTGGCAGTGCACTAGAACATTCCGGGATTGCCTAATATCTTCCGCAACCAGAAATGTTTTTTAAGAGTTAAATGTGTCACTCTTGTGAGCAAAGGTAAAGTTAAGTCAAGGTGATTGATGCATCCAATATACAGTTACCATCCAACAAATAATGAAATGCATCAAAACAAAGACATCACACGACATGTGCCAAAAGTACTTTACAACCGTTTTTTAAATGACTAAAACAAATTTACTTTGGTTATTTTTTCATCAGATGCATGGAATCTGCTGGCCTCGTGAGGACCATCCTGATCTCGTGAGCTTTCAAGATTTTACTCGCTAATCAGTCTGGAGACTCTCTGTTGAAGAAAATTTGGAGCCGTTCACCAAACGAACGTCCAATCAGCGTTGGCTTTGAGGCGGGTTGAGGTGTGATGCAACGAGAAGCGCGACAGTTCAGTCTAAAGAACATGGCGGTTTCAGCTGATGAAACTAGCATTAGCTTGGCTATCGAGCAAGTTTTATCGGAATTACACTGTATTTCTTCACTGAAAGAAGAGCAAAACATTGCTCTGTAGGCTTTTCTCAGAGGAAAAGATGTTTTTGCTCTTCTCCTGACTGGTTTCGACAAGAGTTTGATCTATCAATTGGCTCCTCTTTGTCGTCACTCTGTTACGTCATATGCTTCGTTGATCTGATTGGTTTATTTGGCCCGTCTATCACCAACAAAGGCCAATCAGCTAACCAGTATTTTCGCCCCTTCCCAAAATTACTTCAACGGAAAGTTTCCAGATGGATATGCAGAGCAAATCCATCTGGCGGAGTCAGGTTAGGAATATGCATGGAACAACTTATAAGTACATTTTCCCAATTCAACAGTATTTTTGTAGTAGAACTGGCTACATTTTTTCCACTGAATTCATGTAAATATTTTTTCCAACTTCAGTTGGCATACTTTGTAAACAAGCTCATTGGGAAAAGTCATCAGCTGGCTGTGGTGTGGGCATCAATAATTGTGTTCTATGTTCACACATGAAGTGTGAGTAGACCCGTCACTTCCAACACCTCAGCATCACGATAAAATCAGTACAAACTATTTTGTAATACCCAGAGGTGTCAAGTACTTAAGTACTTTTCAGGTATCTATATTTTACTACATTACTTATTTTTCTTCCTACTTCTAAATTCTACTAATTACTTTTTTACACGTACGTGTATCAGTATTTTCTAATACTTACATTTTTAAAACAAACATTACTTGTTACCATTAGCTTCGGTTTAATGTTTATAAATATTTATTTCACGTCATGTGCGCCATCCAAGAATGGTGTGAAGACCATTGGCGACATCCACATCTAGTGAAAACTAGTGTAATTGAATGAGTCATATAACGCAAACACTAATTCTTTAGCTATTCGTCAAATTTGTGCTGACGGCAAAGGAAATCATCAGAGGCAAGCAGGTGTTCTTCAAACTGCAAACGTCAATTGTCTATGATGTCGAAATGTCTGAAAGGTCGGACACAGGCGAGAGCGTATCGGGAGATGGAGACCAACAAGACCTCCTTCATCCTTGGCCCAACTCTTTGAAATAGTTGAAAAATTGAGCTTTTAATTCATATTGTGGCATCTGGCTTGTTTTTTAAAGGTTATTTTATACTTTTATACTTTAAGTAGTTTTTGAACACAAACTTTGTCACTTTTACTTGAGTAAAGAGGTCAGGTTTTTAGACTGCAGTATCCATACTTCTACTTAAGTAACAAATATGTGTAATTCTGACACCACTGGTAACAACGTTTTAGCCATTTTGAAACTATAACTGTTGATCAACTCCATGCATAGTTGATGCAATGCTAGATGGTCTCTAAAGCAGCCAATAAATACTAGCTGCTGAAATGATATTGATGATCAGTTAAGATAACTACACCTCTGAGACAGAAAGCAAGAACTAAAGAAAAGCAGCCTAATTGATTATTGAAACACTTCATAACTCATGTTGAAGTTATCAGAAAATATAAAGTGAAGGTAAGGGCAGGAAATGGAGACACTAACTGCATTTTGTGAAGGATAGAAACAATAAGACGTGTCTTGATGGTGGACATTAGGAATAAAATGCTGTGTAAGACTTGGGCCTCATCGCTTTATACAACTCACGTTCGCACACCCACCCAGACACAGGGGCACAAACTCCCACACACACTTTAGGTATAAGCAACTCACGTTCGCTGCCACAGCCCAAGAGCTACCGCAGGAATATTTATTGGCTACCGGCTCAATGGCTGTATTGAAGAGAAGGATTGAAAGGGGAGGGGAGGGAGGAGAGAGATAGAAAGAGAAGGGGGGGTAGGAGCTGTTGCCGCTTCTTCTCATCCTCCCTGTGAGCCACTTTCTGTTTCCCCGCATCACACCACGCACACACACCAACGCGACACCTAGCAGACATCCCCGCGCGCACGCAGACGCACTCTCACGCACAGGTACACTGTAGGCTTGCAGAGGGGGGGAATGCATCTTTTTTACTCCTATGCAAAAGAAAAAGTATAAAACTGCGCGTGGGAGGAGAGGCGTGAGGGGGATCACCCGCACATACATGTGCGCTCATACATGGGTGCGCGTGCGTCAGCGCGTCTGATGGGATGTCGCATCCTCCTCCTTACCTTGAGCGCGCGAGGAGAGCGAGCACAGCACAAGAGTCCAGAGAAAATAGCGCATCGCCGTCATCCCTCCGTCCGTCATCCTCCCGTTCATCCCTCTCGTCTTGGTTGTCGCCCTCTTCATCATCAGCATCCTCCTCCTCCTCCTCCTACCCGAAGAGGGAAGCGCGAGACAGCGTTCTGTGCCGCTATTAGCGAGATTATTTGCATCAATACATCTTCCGCGAGCCAAGCGCGAGCCCTCTAAGCTCTCACCGGGCTGCATGCTGCTTCACATCCAGCAAACGGAGGGGTGGGGGGGATTGGGGGTGAAAAAGAGAGAGAGGGACGCGTTTTTTTTCTTCTTTTTTGTTTGTTTTTTTCTTTGGCCCCTTCTAACAAATACTATACAAATCCCTCATATCCAAAAAAAAATGAATTCAGTGAACATCCACAGAGAGAGAAAGAAGGGGGGAGAGTGGGGAAGCAGAGACGCAGAGTGCGCTTTAGGGACGAGCGCACAGGTTGCCTCTCCAACCTGCGCTTTCGATGGCTACCGTCAGTAAATGTGTGCTCTCATCAGTTCCATTGCAATACTAAAAGTGACGAGGAGCTTCAAATCCACACTTTTCCCAGCCGGCATTCCATCTTCATTCTGGAAATTCTAATCTGTGACGTTTTGTGCTGTCTTCTATTAAAAATAAGTCCAACTAAATCCCCGCGGCTCTTCTCGGGATTCGTTTAGCACTACAGCGTGTCACAAATCGATAGAGATGCTTGTTCTTTATTTCTTTCCTGACCGGTTAATCCTCTTCTGCCTCCCCCCGTCTCTTGACTCATGCGTCTGTGAGACCTGAGATCTGCGTTCCTTTTTTTTCCTCTCCTCTTGCAGACTAGCAGGGAAAAGTCTGCATCTTTACCTCCTGGAATAAGAGATATCCGCTATTCTCACGATTCCCTCTTCCCACTGACTTCTTCTGAAAAAGGCTGTATCAAAAGTCACTCCTTTTGGCACATCCTAACCAGACAAAGCAAAAAAATAAAAAATAACAATAAAATCAGGCTTGTTCTTTTCGTCAAAACAGTCCATTTTTAATTATGTCTGAAGAGCCAAACAGTCCAATAAATCATTTCTTTTATCCAGAAGAGAGACGCATCCTTCCCATCTGCTCAGATCGCTCTTCTCTCCTGCTGAAGCAGTTTGGTGCGTCTCCTTCCCCTGCCTGCCGCTATACAAAGATGCTGGATTCAAGAGCTCCTCGTACGTAAGCTTCCCGCTCCCGCACCGATTCACGTGGTCTGCAGTATATGGGTCGGAAGAATGAGTTAGAAAAAAATTACTTCAGCAGACTAAGTAGTGGATATCTTATTTAGATTATAAAATATTGAGGTTTGAAAAATGTTGAAATTGTAAACATGTCTGGATCTTTCGCACAGCTCAAACTTCACCAATAATTGGACTAAATCAATTGATAAAATAGAGACAACCATGGGCGTAGGTTTGCTAGGGACCAGAGGGACAGGTCCCCTACCAAAATTTTGGCCCAACCTTTTTGTCCCTACCAATAATTCTATGTGAATAACACGTTTATAATTTACAACAGTCTTGTTGCAGCAGTCGTTTCTTTTCTCACAACTTGTATATTGAAGTTAATATTTTAAATGCTCAGTGTCAGTTCCTCTTATAGTTTCCACGCCCATGTAAATACAATAAATCTATTTGCAGTCCCTTGAATGTTATTTTGCAACACAGCATATCAGCATATCTGATAAATACACAAAAAGGCATATTTAGACTATATTTGGTTAAAAGGGCACATATTTACCTTCCACCTTAGTCACTGGTAAGTTCAAATGTAACCCTTTTCAAAGTGTTAAGTTGTCCCTCTTTTACATTATTCCAACCAACTGATGCATCAAACACAGATAAAAGGCATATTGTGTGTGTATTTTTTACAAAATTTGTATAAATGTAGCAAAAAAGGATGTTTTCTCTTTAAATGAAATGCACCCTGATGCTCACGTCAAGCATTAAAAAAAATAAAAAATAGGAACATTCATAATGAGTACGACCAATGACATCAGACCAACTCAACGTAAGACCAATAGTGTCTCTACCGAATTTGAAATCAAACCTATGACCTTGGGGACAACCATCTCAGTTGTACCAATAATGGGAACCAGTGGCTATTGTCAATATCAGCACTGTTCAAGGTCTGATTCAGGCCTATTTGGGTCCCTGGGCACAGAGGCGGTTCTAGACCAAATGTACCAGGGGCCCAGTAGGGGGCCAGCCTCCTTTCATGGGGGCACAGAACATCAAGAAATAAAAAACAGAGCAAGGGATTCAAATATGTTAAAATAGCTGCATGAAGTAAAATTTCTATTCAATTAAGTTTAATTCAAATGCTATTTCTTATTAGGTCAATACAGGGCCGGTTCTAGCCCTTTGGTTGCCCTAGGCGAGATTGAGTTTTGCGCCCCCCCCCTCACTTTTGCCGTGCGAAATACCAGTACTGTTTTCAGCATCTGTTTAGTGCTTCATTGAGTTGTGTTTACAGTTCCACAAAGAGTGCTGTGCGGTGAATTGTGCCTACAGTTGTGCAAAGTGTGTGTTACAAAATTGCAAATTGAGTGCAAAGCAGTGTTTGTTCTTTTAGTTTTGTGAACTCAGTGAGTGGATTTGCTATAAGTATTAATAGTTTTAGAAATTGTGCTATAAAAATCAAGGTTGTGTTTAAGCATTCAGAAAAAACTGTAACTTAGCATGGAGTGATGCATAGACAAATACCAGAATAGGTTTCAGTACCTTTTCTTTTTTATTATTTTAAATAATTTATTACACACTCAAAGTTAGGACTGTGCAAAAACACTTTTAACCATCTGTAAGGACACTTAGGTAAAGTATAACTAAAAAACTGGATTGAATCAATGAATGAATTTATTTCAGACAATTAACAAATTTAACACACATTAAACAAATATTAAATAAATCAATTTCAGAAATTACCAAATAACAATAAAAAATAATATATTTAAGAAATTCTTCAACCAAGGACTACATAAAAAAGTAATTGATAAACATTAAATTAAATTTTCTGTTCCAGTTCAATTAAATCATTTGAACATAAATAGAAATGAGATAAACAAAATTTTCCTCTAAATAAAATATATCAGGTATATTTACCCTGATTTCTGACATTGATTAGTGATTAAAGAAAGGATTAACCCTCTATAAACAAAAGTGCTTTTATGAATACCATTACAAAATTAAAAGTTTGAAGTTCTTGTAGTTCTATCTATCAGTTGTTTCAGGTATTTCTATTCACCTTCAAAATTGATGCAGCATTAAAATTTGACTCGTCTGGACTTCCTAATGGCAAATTCGTTGATGGTATCATCAAATGAGATTTTATTTGAGACCTCTTGGTTGATGCTCATCAGTGCAAGCCCATTTTGATGATTATTTGTACATCCCTTTTGAATACTCAATGCAGATAATCACTACAAAATATTTTATTTATATTAGTATCTTCTACCCATTCTCAAGCTAATAATATAGCACATAATTCTGCTGCATATATACTGAGAAAAAAATGATGTCAACATACAAAAAAAATGTTTGAACTGTTAAAAGAAAAAACTTGTCCTACCATTCATCTAATCTCCCGACGTCCAATCTCCACTCATTGTCCGACTCGCTGTTGTTCGTCCTCTGCCTTCTCTTCATCTGAAACATCTGGGTCGAACATGTGAGGCTCCAGACACAAATATTCTTCCTCCGATACATCAGAATGGTCTCCTGGTAGGAATCGCTCGGTTGAAGTCGAAATTTTGCTTTCAGATTTCTTGTTTTGGCTATCGCATTTAGTGCAGTAGACCGCCATGAACGCTCCCGTTCTGACGTCACGACTTCCGGGTTGGAGGGCGCTTGAAAAGTGATCAGAATCTTTTCAGATTTTCTCTTAAATGTGAAAAAATAAATAAAAAAACGGTGGTATATTTATTTGTTCATATTTTGCTATTTATTTATATATACGTAAGGTTAAGTCAAACTGACGGACGCTTCATAACCGGTTTAATTCGCTTTTTTTTCTAATTCTATGATTAATGGGAAGTAAGCCTAAGGGCGACGCTAGAGGGCGCCCCCAACACATTTGTCGCCCTAGGCAATTGCCTAGCTCGCCTATAGCAATCGCCGGCCCTGGGTCAATATACATTCATAATTTAGAAATTTTACATATTTTTGACTTAAGTTAAGTTAAAAAGGACCGTTTTCTGTAAAATCTGAATTAGAACTCAAGAAAAACTGATAAATTCAGCTGTAAAAAAACATTTGGCAGATGAAAACTGGGATCTTATCTCCCACTGAAGCTATCACCCTATTGTTTCTAAATAATTAGTAAAACAGAACTTATAAAGAAAAGAAATGAAAGAGATCCAAAGGACCTGTCAGTAACCATGTCTGTTCCAGCTCATATCATTATTAGAATTTCTCTCAGTATTATGTCTTCAGTACAGGGGCCAGGACATGATCTACAGGGGCACTGGCCCCCGTTGGTCTCTGTCTAGAACCACCCATGCCTGGGCATGGCGAGGTTTTGGTCACTTTTTTGTAGGCTTTATGAGACAGCTATATAGGCATTTATATCCATCCATCCATCATTTTTCTGTCACGCTTATCCCTACTGGGGTCGTGAGGGGTGCTGGTGCCTATCTCCAGCTGTCTATAGGCGGGAGGTGGGGTACACCCTGGACAGTTTGCCAGTCCATTGCAGGGCAAAACAGAGACAAACAGGAAAAACAACCATTCATACAAACACCTAAGGAGTATTTAGTGAAACCAATTAACCAAACAGTCATGTTTTTGGAGTACCCAGAGTGAAACCACGCATGCTCAGGGAGAAAATGCAAACTCCATGCAGACAGGGAAATCGAACCCAGATCTTCTTGCTGCAAGGCAGCAGTGGTACCCACTGCTTCACTTAGCAGCACAAGACATTTATAATAGTTTTTAATTCAACCAGTAAGTGTGTCTGGGACCAAGTAAAAAACAAACTATCATTATTGAGCAACTTTTTGCAAACTTCCACCTTGCCACCACCATTATCCTTAGCTATCTCTCCACAGATTTATTTTAAGATTTAAATTAGCATTTACAATATCACATCATAAAATTAAGTGGGAAGTTTACTACTGCAGAAAATAAAGTATGACTACATTTTTATTTGTCTTTTCTATTATTATTATCAATAAACAGGCTACAAAGCACATCCACAGACATTTTCACAAACCGTTGATTATGTGGGCTTCAGTGTGTTTTACAACTGCATTTAAACACATGCTTTATCACCCTTTTTTATGGTTATTTGGATCACCTGGTCTTTGTCTTTATTTAGCTCAGACGTCTCTTAAAATTATGACTTTATCTTTCATCTCCCAGACAGATTTAGCTTAAACCAAAACTTTGAAATCTATTTGTGGTTAAATATTGAATAATTTCAAAGAGAATTTCATCCAACTTTTGATAGTTATTTACTTTTAAACAGATTTTTATGTTTCAAAAAGAGAACTGGCCTTTTAATGCCTGTCCAACAAGGAATTACCTTGAGGAAAAGAAGATAATAAAAAAAAAACGTATTACTTAGAATTTTACTAGGAGTAAAAGAAGTGAAATCTATCATTATTGTCTGATCTAACTATTGAGCATTCACTTGTTGTGCTTATCTAAAAAAAATACAAATAAAAGGCCAACAATATTTGCTGTTTAAACACCTTTTGGACGTTTTTTCATTGACATATTTTGATTGTTGTATTGAAATGCTGTAAATGTGTTGCTCATTAAATCAAATGATCAGCAGTTTATTTAAATTTGGTTCAAAATGTGAAACTTGTGTTTTTATACAAAAGCCTCATGACACATAAAGTAAGCAATTTCAAGTAATTAATTTGTAATTATATTTATGCATTGAAACTAAATTTGAGCAACTATGAACTTCCTTGGTTGTGGTTACACCTACTTTTAAGGTCTTCAGCTTTTTCTGCTTAATCATAATCGCCTTGAGGCTTTGGTAATTGTGTTTCATGTGTACCTTTCTTTACCATAATGTCTCCCTCTACTCAACTTTACATTCATTTTCTTAGAAAAAAATAAAAAAAAATCTTATGGTACAATTTTCCTTTATTATATATTGTTCCTGGGTAATATTCTTATTTTCTGGAGAACTGTTTTTTGTTTTGTTTTTTTGCTGT